CGAAAGCGGCCAAGGATGGGCCGAAGGAAAAGGCTGCAAGGGCAACCTTGGAAAGTCGTTCATCCTTACTATGCGGGATGACCGTAGTACAGAGGGGGGTATCCAATAAGCTTACGCAGCTTGTTCTTTCGGCGCTGGAGGGTAACCTTGGAAAGTCACTCATCCTTACTGCCCAAGTTGACTGTGCAAAATTTCCAGCCGCCCGGGGGTGCGGGCGTCCCTGACGGCGGAATCAAATATCTTATACTATGCCACGAATATTCCAATGTATATCCGCCGATCCTGCGTGTGAGTTTCTGAGAGCGTGGGCTTGAGCTCGCTCAAGCTTCGCTCTGCGGGGGGAGGGGGGCCTCATTTCCGACCTATTCCTAACCTAATTCAGTGCTTCGCAGGGGGGGGACCTCATTTCCGACCTATTTCAGTGCTTCGCACCCCCCCCCCTCCAGAGCGGACCCCCCCCCTGCAGAGCGCCCTCCCCCCTCCCCTCCTGCAGCCCAGCCCCCCCCCCTGCAGAGCGGACCCCCCCCCCTGCAGCCCCCCCCCCCCTGCAGAGCAGACCCTCCCCCCCCTCCCTGCACCCCCTCCCCTGCAGAGCAGACCCCCCCTGCAGAGCGGACCTCCCCCCTGCACCCCCCCCTGCAGAGCGACCCCCCCTCCTCTGCACCCCCCCCTCCCTGCAGAGCAGACCCCCCCCCTCCTGCACCCCCCCCCCTGCAGAGCGGACCCCTTCCCCCCCCCTGCAGCCCAGCCCCCCCCCCTGCAGAGCGGACCCCCGCCCGTGCAGCCCCGCCCCCCTGCAGAGCGGACCCCCCCCCCTCCCCTGCACCCCCCCCCTGCCGGCTCAAAATCAAAAGAGACATCATAGCCTCATCAATCAAGATTGATCCACTCACGGATCCACTGCAATTGATTTTCATTGAATTCATTCCATGCGTAGCATGCTCTCCCCTAATGGACCGCGAACGGGACCCAGTCCCCTGCCGGTCGGCTAGTGCCGCCATCATAGGCAACCAGAGGGGCCATCATAGGCACCTCGCACCCAATTCGGGGCCATCAGCAAGGCTCGTTTTGGGAAGAAGGACCATCATAGGCCTTCGCGCTCAATTTGTTCATTGAACTCAACTTTCTCGTCGTCGTCGTCCTCCTCCTCCTTCTCCTCCTCCTGGTCTCCACCCCATCGGAGCCGCGATACAGGCAGTGCGGGCAGCACCTCGACCTCATGGAGGATGAGCACGACGAACGTTGTTGGTGGACGTCCGCCCTTGCCCTCTCCCCCCCCGGTGAGGACCATCATAGGCCTTACCAGTGAGGACCACCATGAGGCCTCACACCCCTCGCAGTTTCCGTCATTGGAACTGCGGGGGTCGAACCAAATCCCCACAAACCTGGCACCGTACGTGCAGTGCCAGGGGCGGCGGCCCGTCTTCCCATCCTACCATCATAGGGGGATGCGAAGTCCCTGAAGACGGGACGGGGTGGGCACGAGCGGGCATCATGCCCGCTCAAAATCAAAAGAGGCATCATAGCCTCATCAATCAAGATTGATCCACTCACGGATCCACTGCAATTGATTTTCATTGAATTCATTCCATGCGTAGCATGCTCTCCCCCTCCTGCAGCCCCCCCCCCCTGCAGAGCGGACCCCCCCTCTCCCCTGCAGTCCCTCCCTCTGCCGAGCGGACCCTCCCTGCAGAGCAGACCCCCCCCCCTGCAACCCAGCTCCCCCCCCGTCGTCGTCGTCGTCGTCGTCGTCGTCGTCGTTGTCGGCGCGTCGTCGTCGTCGTCGTCGTCGTCGTCGCTCGCGTCATCGTCGCCGTCGTCGTCGTCGTCGTCGCTCGCGTCGCCGTCGTCGTCATCGCCGTCGTCGTCGTCGTGGTCGTTGTCGTCGTCGCTCTCGTCGTCGTCGTCGTCGTCGACGCATTCGTTTTCGTCGTCGTTTTCGTCTTCCTCGTCGTCGTTCATGTCCACAGGCACCCGGAGCGCCCCGGATCGGCGGCACTGGCTGGAGGCCACTACAATATTTTTACAGGGCCGTGGACCCTGGAAAAAACGCCCCCCCCCCCCACACACACACACCTAACGAGTTTCGGACTCCCCGGGCTGCTTGAAGCCCCCCCCGGGCTGCTCGGGCGCCCTTGCAAAGGGTTCCTTCGGCCTTCCGGCCTTCTCGGAAGGTCCAAAGAGGCCTCCAATATTGCCCAAGGCAGCTCATCGACAGTTCCAAAGCAAACCAAAACCTTCAACATGGCTTCCAAACGCCCCAAAAGGCCTCCCAGGCCCGAAGGAGCAAAATTAATTGATGTTCAATGGTTTTTGAAGGCTGTTTCGGTTTTCGCTTTTCCGGGACAAGAACGGTCCAAGACGGCCCAAGAGGCTCCAAAGATCGTCCCAACACGGCCCCAGAGGCCCCCCAAAAGGCTCGACAAAGGCCCAAGAGGGTCCCTAGACGGCCCAAGAGGGCACGAAAACTACCAAGGGAGCCCTAAGACGGCCCCAAGAGAGCCTCAGGAGCACCCCAAGAGGCTCCCAAGAGGGCCCCAAGAGGCACCCAAGACAGCCCGAAGACGGCCGAAGGCCTCCAAGACGCCCCAAGACGGCCCGAAAAGACCCCGAAACGGGCCAAGAGAGTCGCAAAACGGCCCAAAAAGGGCCCCCCCAAGAAGGCCCAAAGAGGCAAATTGATTGATTTCTTGGAAAGATTGGAAGGTTTTTTCGGTTTCGTTTTTTCGGGCCACGAACGGCCCAAGACGGCCCAAGAGCGTTTTACATGGACCTTCCCTGCAAAACAATTATTGCACAAATGTATACATCGTTTAACCATACATTACCGTGTACATCGAGCGTCAAACGCTCTTGGGACGTTCAGACGTTGAAGGCGCTGTCATCCGATATCCACGCGTACATACATACATATACATGCACATGCATACATCGCAAAAAACAAAACAAATGTGCACACACATTCCCCCCGAACGCATTTCGGACTCCCCGCGCTGCTGGGAAGCCCCTTCCCGGGCTGCTCGACCTGCTGGGAAGCTCCCCGGGGGCTGCTCGGACGCTCTTGCAAGGGGGTTCTTCGACCTTCCGGCCTGAGGTGTTCAGACCACTCTTCGCTTGAGACTCCCTCGCGCAGCTGACTTCGGAGATGCCCTGCAACCTCTGATACGCCTTGCCGCGTAGCAATCAGACACGTAGCACTCCGACACGTTCACAAGGCCTCCAGATTTTTCCCAAAGGTTCTGGCGGCGCCCGTCGTTGAGCCCCTCGCAGGTCCTGTCTTTCAACGCTCTCGGAGGCCAGCTCCCAGCGTCTTGCATCCGCCTCAGTTCCAGCCTCCATGCCATGACTTCCGATCCTGAGCGTTCGTGCCTGCCTGCCCTCGGGTCCGCGGGACTCCTCCCATTACTCTTTCCCTTCGCCTTCCTCCTTCCCACTGTCTGTCGGCTGAGACATCCTCGCAACTCTGACCCCTGAGAAGCCCTGCCACAAGGTTGTCTGGCCACTTCCGCTTGAAACCTTCTCGCAACTCTGGGTTCCGGGGTTCTCTGAGCTGAGGTGTTCCGGCCACTTTCGCTAGAAACATCCTCGCAACTCTGGATTCCGAGATGCCCTGCCGCCGAAGAGTAGTCCGCCGCTTTCACCTGAGACATCCTCGCAACTTTGGATTCAGGGATGCCCTGAGCTGAGGTGTTCAGGCCATTTCCGTTTGAGACATCCTCGCAATTCCGGGTTCGGGTATGTCCTCAGCTGAGGAGGTCAGTTCACTCTCGCTTGAAACATCCTCGCAACGCTGACATCGGAGATGCATTGCCCCGTAGTAGTCTGGCTACTTTCGCCTGAGACCCTCCCACCTCTGAATTGCGAGATGCCCTGAGCAGTCGGTCAGGCCATTACCGCCTGAGATACGCATGTGTATGCGCACCCATAATTACATATAGGTGCGTGCACCAACAAGCACCTGCGATTGACACATACATATGCGTACACACATTGGTATGTAATTTGTATACACATATACAACAGTGTACATGTGTGCTATACACATCGATATATGTGCAGAGCGTGCATGCGCGTGCGCGTGTATACATGCATGCGCGCATGAACGCACGCACGCACCCCGCTTTCGCGCGAAGCTCAGAGGCCCAAGGTGCATGGCGCGCAGCGCCATCGCAGCCTTGTATATATGCGGTGTATGCAGCCGCTGCTTCCCGGTGGTGATGCCACCCTCCCTTGAGGCCCAGGAACGATCCATTGGAAAATGTCTGTGTATATCTGTTGTGGCAGATATACCGTTCTTCTCCCTCCGCCTGCCAAAACATACAGAACATCCCGGGGTACCCTCCCCAGGATGCACACAGACCATCCGACGAACCCGAACAACATCGGGGCACCTTCCCTGGACCGACCTCCATCTCATACCTCGGTCCGACCGAGCTTGGTTTGGGGGTCAAAATTGGGACCTCCAGCGGCCGTTCGGGACGATCCCGACAACCCCGGAACGCTCTCGGCGAGGCGCAGCCGCTGGAACGCATCCCGATGTCAGCCAACCGCCGAGAAACAGCGAAAACGTCCAAAAACCCACGTAACGTCAGAAAAAAACGCCCAGAACGTCCGAAATCAGCCGAGAACGAGCCGACGAAAACGTCCGAAAACTGACGAAACGTCGAAGATCGGTCCGACCGTACCGTTCTTCTGCGGGGCAACGATAGGGGGGGACTGGCATGGGGGGGGATGCATCGACCTGGAATCGGCGATACATCGCCGATAGAGCGGCAACAGGCCTCCGATCGTGAATCCGCACCTGCTATCGGGCCCCCATCGGCGATCAAGGGGCGATTGGGGGTCGGTGCATCCCCCCCTGTGCCTGTCCCCCCCTATCGTTGCCCCTGAGAGCCGTTCTTCGCCCGCGAATCCGAAGCAGTCGCGGCGGCGGCGGCTGGCCCTGCCGTGGCGGCTGGGCCACCCTGCGCGCACGCGCCGGGCGGGAGGCGGCGGCGGGCCCTCGCCGTGCTCCCCGTCGTGCGCGCCCGCGTCATCCGCGGCGCCCGCGGGCCGGTCGCCTCCGAGGCCGAGGAGGGAGGAGGTGGAGGTGGTGGAGGAGGAGGAGGAGGGGCAGGGAGGAGGAAAATCGACGCATCAGTAGCATCGTTCTTCTTCTCCTCCTCCTCCTCCTCCTCCTCCTCTTCATCGTCATAAGCATCATCATTATCATCATCATCATCATCATCATCATCATCATCATCATCATCATCATCATCATCATCATCATCATCATCATCATCATCATCATCGTCATCATCATCATCATCATCATCATCAGCATCAGCATCAGCATCAGCATCAGCATCAGCATCAGCATCAGCATCAGCATCATCATCATCATCAGCAGCATCATCATCACCACCATCATCATAATCAGTACCATCAGCAGCAGCCTCAGTATCACTATGATCGCCATCATAATCATAATTTGCCGGCCCAGCGGGCCAGAGGTGTGCTAAGATCTCCGGTAACTGGTTAACAATTCTCTAGTTCGCGCGCGCGGGGCGGCCCCTGGGGGTCCCCGGACGAAAAGTACCCCGGGCGACTCCCGGCTGATCCCCGGGCGACTCCACCAGAGCGCTCCATGAGCGCACCAACAGGGCTCCGAGACGTCCCCGAGAGCCCCAAGCAAGGCCAAGAGGCCCCCAAGAGGCCCCCAAGATGGTACACGAGGGGTCCGACATGCCACAAGATCGCTCCAAGACGCACAAGATAGCCCCCAGACGCTCCAAGAGGCCTCCAAGAGCACTCCCAAGAGGGCCCCAAGAGGCAAAATTCACTGTTTCTCCTTAGGTTTTTGAAACATTTTGGAGCTTCCACCTGGTCGGCTTCCCGACGCCTCAAGACGGCCCAAGAGGCCCCCAAGATCGCCCCAAGATGGCCCAAGAGGCCCCCAAGAGGGCCCCAAGATGGCCCAAGAGGGCTCGAAGACGGCCCAAGAAGCCTCCAAGACGGTCCAAGAGGGCCCCAAGAACGCCCCCAAAGGGGCCCCAGAGAGGTAATACGAAACAACATTTCGAGCCCTCGGCCCTAAGAAGCCCCCACGAGGCCCCAAGAGGCCCCTAAGAGGCCCCAAGAGGCCCCCACGAGGCCCTCAGGAGGCCCCCAAGAGTCCCCCAAGCGGCCCCAGGAGGCCCCCCAAATGCTCCCCCGAGCACGCAAGCAAGTGCAAGCGATGCTACAATGTGCTCTCCTTTCGGTAGACTCCCAACGGGGCCCCTACAGACTTGCAACAAGCGTCAAGAACCTGCCCAAAAGCACTGTCCAGGAGCGTTCACAAGTGCCGCGAAGAAGCCCTCCTTACGCCGGAAAGCCCGAAAACCGGGTGGGGTGAGCTGTTCTTCTCACCACCGCGCCCTCTCACACAATGGCTTCCGCACGCCGCCCAGAGCGCGATGCCTCCCAAACTGTATGGGCCGGCGGAATGAGCGAAGCGATTAAATAATAACCAGAATCGCAAGCATAATCATCATCGCCACCATCATCACCATCATCACAATCATCATCACGATCATCATCACCATCATCACCATCATCATCACCAGCATCATCAGTATCAGCATCACCATCACAATCACCATGATCATTACCATCATCCTCTCCTTTCTCTGCTTCTTCATCATCAACAAAATCATTATTATCATCATCTGCATAGGCCTTTATCATCATTGTCATCCTCGCCATAAACATCATCATCACCATCATCCTCGTCATCAGCATGATAATCAGCATCATCAAAACAATCAGCATCGACATCATCACAGTTGTCGTCGTCGTCATCGTCGTCGTCGTCATCGTCGCCATCATCATCAGCAGCAGCAGAAGCAGCAACAGCATCAGCATCACCATCACCATCATCATCATCATCATAATCATCAACATCATCATCATCATCATCAGCATCATCGTCATCGTCATCGTCATCGTCATCGTCATCATCAGCATCATCATCATCATCATCATCATCATCAATCACCATCCCTCGTCACCGTGGTCAACATCATGCTGATGGGGGCCGCCGCCGCGATCCGAGGGATTCCCTAATCGGCTTGCCTGTAAGGACCCCAGACTTGCAATGGCTCGGACGTCCATTCCCAGTGCTTGTGTTTCGGTTTCCTCGTGTATTTGTTCGCAAAGTGATCCAAAATGCTCTTCGATGATCATGGCCGGAAAAATGCACATATCCGAGCCGAGAGCAAAATACAGAGAATCAACAAGCATGGCCTGAACGGCTTGCCTGTAATATTACGTTGCATCTTCGGGAGACCTTGTCTGTCCCGTCATGCCGCGATCTGCAACGAGCATATGTCGATTCCACGTCGAACGCGTTGAACGCGTGTTGAATTACGTCGGATCCGCGTCGAAGCCATGTCGAAGTACAACACAAGAGCATCATGTACAAGACCGTCAAATGCCCCCCCGAGTATGCAAACTAAGTAAGGGTCCTAGATACTGATCCTGTACAGACCTCCCAGATGAGCGACGAAAAGAAGCCTGCCTTACGCGAGAAGACATAGCAACCTGAACTACGCGGGCCGCCAGCGCGCCACGCTACACTGGAAGCCAAGGTGCTTACGCGCGACCTTACGCGGGCAACTTGCACGCGCATGCCAGCACAATCGAAACCAGTTTTTCTGCGTCGCTCACATAGGGTCGGAGTAGATGTGGTCGGAAGATCTCGCCGCATCGCCGACGAAACGGCGACGCATCGTCGATGCGTCGGCGATGCATCGGCGACGTCGGCGATGCAGCGGCGGCGTCCGCGTGGTGAAGATCCGGCTCTGCATCGAGCCGCATTGCCGGTGCAATCGGCGACGCGGAACGACCCTCCGACTACTCCGACCCCATTTGGGAAGCCTAGATTCTAAGAGAGCGGGCAAACCCGGACCTGCAGTCGGTCGGGTTCCGACTGTCCCCCGGTGGCTCACGTTGCCCCCCGTTGCTTCCCGCTGCCTTCGATTGCCTACATGATCACTCTGATTCCCAGATAGCTCTCTGAGAGCCAAGGGGGCTTCAGACGAGAAGCCGGCAGGCAAAAAGGTAGCCCCGCAACTCGTTCTGGCCTCTGGCAGGAAGCGCCGCTGCGCCTCACGTGAAGTTGCAGCGTGTCCCAGAAGGCCTCTTCTCACTGTCTCCTAATGCTTGCCTTAGGTCGGGCATGTCCCCCTACAGGCAGAGTTTGGAGGAAAACAATATTCAAACAATACTCAAAAATGATCAAACAATAATCAGAGCATCGTCCCCAGACTATTTTGTTCACTCTGTTCGAATATCCTCCTGTAGAGGGACATGCCCGACATAATGTTTGCCAGAAGCTCCTTCGGAAGCCCTTCCAAGAGCTTCAGGAGCTCCTTCGTACTAGGTGCTGGAAAACCTCGCTGCCGCTCCACGAAACCCGGGATTCTGATCCCACCAGTGTCTCCGTCTGTGCCCCTCTTGGGCACAGTGCAGAAACCGGCTTCGGGTCTTTAACCGCAGGAGCGCAATCAGTTGTTGAGCCCGCGGGTTTTCCTCGAGCTCGGCTCTCGGTTCCCTGGTGACTGATGAAGATTGCGCCGGTGTCGCTCCCGCTTCAGAGATGTCAAGATGTCCGTGATCGCGAGCCTGCACTTCAAAGCACTTGTGCTTCAGAAGCCGCATTGAAAAAAGTGGAAAAGAAAAGTCGGCTGTCGGGGGCCGTTTTCGGGCCCCGGGGCCATCGAAAATGGGTTTGGGCCGAGAAACTGCGTACCCTGGAGGAGCGGGTGGAGCCTCTGGGACCGCGCACTTGAACAGTCATCGGCGGATGTCAGGGGCCGAAGACCGCCATGAAAGAAACGGGGTCTCGAAGGAAGCGGGCCCCGGAAGCTCCACGGGCTCCAGGACAGTGGAAGGAGCCTCCAGACCGTGAACCCGTGACTTCGTTTCCGAAGCTCCTGGGAGCCCTGGGGCCGTCGAGGAGCGATTCTGGACAAAAGCCTCGTTTTCGGGGAAGCCCCGTGTCCCTCGGAGCACGTCTTCACCATGCCGGGCGGGAGGCAGATCCCGTCCCCCCTCCCTGCGAGGCGGGGATGCATGCCCGTCGGGCGGGAGAGGTGGGCAGAGGCACGGAGTAGGGAGGCGGCGAAAGCATATTGGTGCTTCAGCTCGCCCCCTGAAGAGGAGGGACGGGAAACCACGTGATCATCTGAAGTAGGGCGACGGTTAAAGAAGATTGAGGTCTGAGGATCCAACACTTTATCACTTCCTCCCAGGCTCTCCGTCGAACCTGGGATCCCCTCTGCCCTCCCCCTCCCAGGACACCAGGGGGCGGGTCAGCGGATAGAAAAGGATTCAACGCAATTCAACAGAACGAGGGACGGGTACTCGGGACATCCGATAGGGCGCGAGGGCATCCAGCTTGCGCAAGACCCTCCTCTCCCCACTCCCCTGTCCCTCTCATCTCCCCCTCCCCATTCCCCTTGTCCCCTCGCATGACTCTCCCCCCGCCAGCACCAAGGGCATCGGGAGACCCATCTTCTCTTCACTCGATATCAGAAGCATCACTCAATATCAATGTTGCAGCCCATGCGCATTCATTTCAATGTCTGAAGTGGCATATAAGAGCGCGCGCGCACGAACACATACACGTGCACAACCACAAAACCAGGACGTGCGCGTGTGCGTGTCCACCCAGGTTCATGCGCACACTGCACCGGCACTCGCATGCAGACGCATGTGCGAGCAAAGAGCAGCGCAAGCATGCTGCACAAGGCGCTTACAGTACAGCAGATGCGCACGCGCACACCCCGGCTGATGCCTGCAGTGTGCGCCCCCTCCCGCCCTCCGCAAATGAGTGGCCCAGCGGGATGCCCAAGAAACAGACCCTGTAATCCATGTGATGTCTGGGGCACACTCGCCGAAAAGGAGCGAAACCTCGTCTGAAATCTGCCGCTGACTCGAACAATCTGGAACAGGCCTGCACATAGCGCGACACAGTCGAAGAGCGCCACCTGATCGTAGTCAGCCAATGAGGGCCTCGGCAAAAAGAGAAAGCTGCCGGTCGCCGCCTGTCTGGCGCCACATGCTGGGCGGAACCCGCAGGCCAACCAAGGTGAAAGTGTCGGCGACAAACTCCACTACCCCTCCGTATTCGGGAGCGGCCAAGAGGGGGGCGTCCAAGAGGGGGGGGTACAAGTCATGGCCGGCGGCATGGGACGTAATGAAAGAAGGAGAGGCGCCATGAAATCTGAGGAAATATCATGCCCCACGCCATGATGTCCACCCCCCCCTAATCATCACCCCCCTCTTTGCCGCCCCCGACGTATGAATCCTGCCTGGAATCTGTGCGCACCCACCGCCTGCCGGGGAGACGCAAGACTCGATGCTGGAGGGCTCCACTCTGCCTGACGAGGCCACACCTGGCCATTGCTCGGACGTCCATTCCCTGTGCTTTCTTCGGTTTCGTGCGTGGATTTTCCGCCAAACGATCACAGATGCTCCTCGATGAAAAATGAACCGTCGAGATCCAAGACTCAGGAGAGGCTGCGCTCAGACCCAGTAAGCCCAGACGGAGGCCGAGCACTCTGTATGGACGCACTCCGTATAGGCTCGGGCTCCTACCAGGAGAAGCTAAGTCCAGACGGAGTAAACCCAGACGGAAACCGAGCACTCCGTGTAGACTTACAACCAGACCAAGGACAGAAAAACATCCCTCAAGAACAGGAGACCCTCCGCCGTCCAAAACACACAAAACATCCAAGGGCACTCTCTCATGATGCACAAGAACATCCGGCGAACACGAAGAACCTTAGGGTACCCTCCCCGAACCGACCTCGATCTTCTACCTCGGTCCGGCCGTACTCCATATGGACATGGCCTCCCCCACCATACGGGCCCGCCGAAAAACGTCGGCAAACCCAAGTTCCGGCGAACGCCTCCCCCAGCCTGGGAAACACGACATCACAGGGCCCCAAGGGGCGGTGGATGCGGATGTGTTCGGGGCCCCAGGGCGCCCAAAGCCTTCCATATTCGAGAGGACGTAAAGGTGGGGCAGGGGCAAGAGTGGGGTTGGGAGGCAAACCGCTCCAAACGGCCCCTGGAAGGAGGAACTGTGAGCATCGGGGCTCGTTCCGTGACCCACCTTGGGACAACTGCCCTTCTGCGAACCCCCGACATACAGTGGAGGCCCGTCCACAAGAAACCTTCCACAAGAAACCCAACCCTGAGACCCCACGGCGCCCATGAATTTCTGCTTTGGGAACGTCACGCTCTCCACAGCAAAACCATCGAAACCCAAGAAACCCAGGGCATCCTGGAGGCAAGCAGAGTATTTCTTGGCATGGGTCTCCACTGTACGAGCCCCCGACATATGTGCTCAACCCTCCAAGGTCCAGGACGCCCGGCGCTTGAGGCGGACGAGCTCAGACTCCAGCCCCCGACCATCCTGCCGAACAAGCACTCCTGGCGTGGCCCCCTCCTCTGCAGAAGGAGGAACGTCGGCACGAGCATCAATCGGCGTCGTCGTCGTCCCCGTCCCCCTTCAGGGCGCGGATTGCTTGGAGCGGCGCTGGACCCCGCTGGCGGCATGGCGCGCTCCGCGCGCCACGGAGGGGGGGGGTCCAGCGCCTCTCCACGAAATCAGCTGTGGCAACTCATGGGAGCCCCCCATGCCACCATGCGGCTGGCTCCTGCGAATCGGCGCTAGATCGACGCGATATCGACGCTATATCGGCGCCGAATCGACGCCAATCGACAATAGATCGACGCAGCATCGGCGCTACCTCGTCGACTCCCAGAAGCTAATCGACGCCAGTCGGCGCTGACGACGGACTTGAGTGAGGAGTTCCAGAAAAAGGCCTTATCTTCGAGGATCGAAGGACTTGTCATCTCTTCCTCGGCGGAAGGGCGGCGGAAATAAACGAGGCCAGCTCCGACGGAGGAAGCCAGCGGAAGAGCGGCGAAAGGTGGCGGAAGTAAAAAATGCGCCCCCAAGAGAAGGCATCAGTTGCTTGGGTTCAGGGTTTCCGAAATAAGCCAAACGTGCATACGAAGCTCCCACGATTTGCTACCGAACACACCTCCGAGCGTCCTGGTTTTGCACTTCTGTGCGCTCACGCGGGCGTGTGCGCGCCACTGGCGTCTGCGCGCCAGGATGCGCACGAGAGGACGGCGGCGGGCGGCCCCCCGGAGAAGCACACCCCTCAAGAGGCCCAGATCAAAGGGGGGCCCAAGAACACACAAACACGTAGACACACATAGAAGAAAAAACGCCATAGACATCAACTGTTGGCGCTCCGCGAGGATCTCTTGGGTCTGCGCCGGACCCCCCTGCCTGGTCCAGGCGAGAGTGGCAGCTTGCAGAGGAGCGCGTCTGGTCGCAGATCTCGCCTAGCTCCTACATGTGACGCACTTCGGAGAGCTACTCTCCTGCGAGTGCGGAGTGCCCTCGCCCTCGAAGAGGATGAGGGCCCTCTTGTCCGAGCTCAGGAGGCGGGACTTGGCGACTCGAACTAACCTATTCTTGCAGGCTGGTGTCTCCCACCGCCGCGAGACGTCCTGCATTTGATGGAGGCGAGCTGTTGAGCTCCCAAAAAAAGCGTTCGGCGATCGGGGGGCCCAAATGGGCCCCCCTGCACCAAAGGTCACTCCAGCGAAGGGTCACTCTTGCGTGCCGACGGAAAGGGCGGGCGATGCATCGGCGATGATGCGCGATCCCAGGCTGACGGCCTGGGAGCCGCAGCCCCTTGCCCAGGCCGAGGGGAAACAAACCTCTGATGGCCGCGCCCGGCCGCCTTCGCGGGCGGGCGAGCGCAAGGCGGCGGCTCTGCAGCGCAGAGAGCGGGAGAGCCCAGAATCGAATCGATAAGTCGGATCGGCGATCGAAGTGAATCGGATCAGCAAAGATCGGCATTCAAGTCGGGAGAAGTCGACTGGGCGGAAATCGGCAAATTAACTAGTAGGTCTCCATTCATCGGAATCCAGATCAGAATCCGAAGCCGGATCGAATCGGAATCGGAGACCATCGAACTCGAATCGAATCGAATCGAATCGGAGGAATCGGAACGAGCCCCGAGAGAAAGGGGGGGGAGGAGGAAATGGACGAGGAAGCGAAACCGGCGGGCGGCAAGCCAAGCCGCCCGTCGATCGCCGACACGGGCCCGCGCGGCCGGACACGGGCCCTGGCCCACGCCCCCTCCTTGGTCTTGATCCGCTTGTCCAGGGGCGAGCCGGAGGAGAGCGAGGGGCAGATGTTCACCTCCGCCGCGGGGCGGGGGAGGAGTCGAGGAGAAGGGGGAGGAGACGAGCGTACCCACGAAGAAGAAGGGAGGAGGAGCCGATAGGGGGGAGGAGGGGGCGGAGGAGGAGGAGGAGGAGGAGGAGGAGGAGGAGGAGGAGGAGGAGGAGGAGGAGGAGCTCCGCCGCGGGGCGGAGGGCGGACCCCCCATCTCCTAGATCCTGGAGTATCCCTCCTCGATCCTCGAGCCTCGACCCTGGATCCTCGATTCCCCCTCGAGCCTCGTCCTCGATCCTCAGATGAGGCTCGCGGGAGCTAGCGCGGATGGGGCAGTGCCGCGGAGGCCGGGCACCTGAGCGCACGGCCAGGGGGCCGCGAGCTGGCCCAAAGTATTGCCCCGGGGGTCTCCCAGCAACCGAAGCAGAAACAGCTCGGTGCTACGACTGTTTCGATGGCGGGGCGCGTTTGGCCTCGTGGTCCTCTTGGGCCGTCTTGGGGCCGTCTTGGAGCCGTGTTGGCGCCGTCTCGGGCCGTCTTCGGAACGCGCTGGGGCAATTCGGGGGCGTCTTAGGGGCCAACTTCGGCCTCCCGCGGTCTTATCTTGGCCTGGTTTGGGGATCATCTTGGGCCCTTCACGTGAATAGGCTGGCTCTTGGGCCCTCCCGCATCTGCTAGGACAACGCCGTGGGCAGGCAGTGGACCTGAACCTCACTGAGCATGCAAAAATGCGGAGACGCAGTAACAAGCGGGACAAGGAGGCCCACCCGTCTGCCCCATCCCCGCGGTTCGGTCGGTTCGGCTGCGTCCAAGGGCCTCCCACAAATGGGGTCGGAGCAGATGGGGCCGGAAGGTCGCGCCGCATCGCCCGCGCATCGACGATGGATGCATCGCCGATGCATGGGCGGTGCACGGGCGACGATGGCCACGCCATCGGCGGCGCCGGCTTGAAAAAATATCGGGCTCCGCATCGCGCCGCAGCGCCGCAGCATCGGTGATGACCCTCCGACCCCGTCAGCTCCGACCCCGGCATAGAGGCTGGGGCGTCTCGGGTGCCCACGCGCCTGCTGAGCAGTTTTCTGTGTCTTCGGGGGGGTGGGGGGTGGTCAAACTTTCCAGGGGCCCTTGGACACACAAGTAATAGACTCAAATCCCAGGATTCCCAATATTTTTCTATATTTTCTGGGTTTCGTTTTCCCCCCCCCCACTTCCCATATGTTCCCATATTTTCCTGGGAATCGGCGATGCATTGTGTTTGTGCGATTTTCCCCCTCCTGAGTTTGGCACGTTCCTCTGAAGGCCAGAGGCCTTCCAAACCTTTTGAAGAAAGCCCAGCCAGTCTGACTTCTCCCCTGGGCGCGCCGCCAGGAGTACTGAGCCGAAGAAGTACCCCGAATCCTTTGGAAGGGAACCTGCGTCACGAAGGCCAGCAGCATTAGGGATATAGTTTTTTCTTCTGCAGATGTCTCAGACGAAGCCACCCAAATGCTTAGAAACAGCCATACACAAACGATGACCTAAGTTAGGCTACGAGTTCATCATATCATCGAGGCTCGGGGAGTGTCTCATGCTCCATGAGAGGATGCCCGCGGCTCGGTCACTTCGGCGGCGTCGCACTCGGCTGCGTTCGGTCGGTCGCTGCCTGCGTCGCTGCCTGCGGTCTGTCGGCCTGCGTCGGGTACGGTGCCGCTGTCGGTTCGGCCGGTTTTCGCCTGCGCTGACCTCGGGCGGCCTCGCGTGCTGGCGTGGGCGCGGGCGCGCGCCCCGCCTCACCTGAGCGGCCTGAGCGTCCTTGAGCGCGGGCGCGGGCGCGGACTGGGGAACTCCGAAGGTACCTACACCGCTACTCCGCGGACTTCACCTCTCCTGGAATGACTTCTGACCCGAACTCCAAGGCCAATGCAGCGGTGGTGACGAGGGCCTCCCAGGAGGCCCACGAAGGCGTAAACGAGGCACGTGTGGAGGCATCGGTACCTTTCCCCCCCCCCCCCCAAGGGTGGAGTCCCCCGGTGGACAGGGAGAGGTCCAGGCCCCCGCCCGTCCCCCGCCCTCCCCCCTCCCAGTCCCCCTGTGGAAGAGGGGGAACAGGGAGGTAGCGCCGTCGCCGTCGTCGCCGCCGCGGTCGTCGTCGTCGCCCCCTTTCAGGGTCGGCGGCATTGGCCGCAGGGCATTTCCAATAACATAAACAGAAGCTTTCGACGGTCCACGCGGATTTCGTGGATCAGCGCGGGAGCCCCCTGGAAACGGCTCTGGCGCCGCCCCTGCCGAATTCCGCACGCCAAGGAGGGGGATCCAGCGCCGATCCAGGAAATCTGCGTGGGTATCCGAAAGTGTATGTTCATGCGAATGTTGTTCCTCGACAAACGTGTCGTCCAAGCGGGTTTGGCGCGTTGCCCGACGAGTTCCGCGCCCCTTATGGCCTTGGCGCTTGAATTTAGCAACAACTGCACATAGGATGGCGGTCGAGGAACGCGGTCAAGACCGGGCGGGCTACGCGAGGAACGAACTGCGCCCAACATGCAGATGGAGCGAACGTTGATCAGCAATTGAAGTACCCCTAACCCTTTGGGGTGACCTGTGTTACGAGGAACAAAAAAGTTAAGGATAGCTTCTGGTTGCTGATGTTTCAGACGGAACAGCCCACATCACGGGGGATAACCCTGCAAAGCGATGACCCTTCAGTGAGGCCACGAGTTCACTTTGTGATCGAGGCTTGCGGTTGCATCGTGCTGACAAAAAGCGAAGAGGCCGCAGAGAAAAGACGCCAAGCGAGAGGAGCGCGAGCAGGGAGCGGCCACTGCTGTCTGAAAGAGCCAACTCGGGCGACAACCAAGATATACTTCAGTGTGGCGGGGGGGGTGCGAGGGCCAGCGCCGATCGGAAAAAAACACCGAAGAAGAAAACGACGACTATGCGCCGCGCCGCCAGCGCCGCGAATTCGGACACGCTGCCCGCGCCGGCACCGCATGCGGTCACTGCGCGCGCCGGCGCCGGCGGCCGCGGGCGGCCCACGAAGGGATGCGCAGATGGAGCTCGGAAACCACACGGGGCACGCACTGGGAGGCGGGCGGGCCGACGGGGCGGGCGTCGCTCGCGGGGGGCGCCCCCCGCGCCGTGAGCAGAGGAGAGTTCTGCACGACACGGGCGAGGGGGGGGCCTGGAGCGGAAGGGGATGCCGCCATGGTGCTGCCAGATGGGGGGGCTCTCCGATCGTCTTTCATGGGGGGCGCCGCGAGCCGCGCGAATACGGGCATGTCGCATCAGACGGGCGAAGGGGGGGCCTGGGCCGGAATGAGCTGCAGCCGCCGTGGTGCTGCCAGAAGGAGCGGTGACGAAGGAACGACTGGGGCCTGTTGATCCGTCTTTCACGAGGGCGCCACGCGCCGTGAAGACGAGTGCCTCGCACGAGACGGGCGAGGGGGGGGCCTGGGCCGGAAGGAGAGGCAACCCTGGTGCCGCCAGAAGGAACGGTGAGTAAAAGAACGAATGGGGAGCGCTTCGATCGTCTTTCACGGGGGCGCTGCGCGCCGCGAAAACGAGTGCTCCGCAAAAGACGGGCGAGGGAAGGCCTGGGCCAGAAGGGCTGCAAAAAGGGGCGCTGACTAAGGAGCGAACGGGGGCTGTTCGATCCGTCTTTCACTGGGGGCGCCCCCCGCGCCGCGAAGGCGAGAGCGCCTCGCACGAGACAGGCGAGGTGGGGCCTGGGACGAAAGGAAGAGGAACAGGAGGAGGAGGAGAAGAGGAGAAGAGGAAGGACGATGAGGAGGAGGAGGAGGAGGAGGAGGAGCGAGCGAGCGACCACATTGCGCATCAGTGCCGCATCAGCAAACAGACGCAGCACACTGACCACATGACCACCCTATGGTGTCAGTGGTGGGCGGCACTTGCACTTGCGAAGCCGCCAGTAGTCAGCCGAATCTCGCACCATCTTGGCATGCTCTTCGGCCGCCTGGATTTCACGCTTACTGTATCTCTGCAGCGCGCCGTCTACCATCAACTGCTTGCAGTGTTTGGACGAGTGCTGCAAGTGATGCATCGCCCTCTCCCGCAAATCAAATGATGCTCCACATGCTGGGCAGCACGTGCCTGCGACATTCTGCCTAGCCTGCCGCAAATGGCCGTGGCAGCGGTGCATGTGCACGGCTAGCGCTCTCGGCGTACCAAAGATGCGACACGCATCACGTGGGCACAAGGGACACTGGATCCCGGGCGGCACGTCGTCTCCAGCAGTCGCCAGATCGCAAACCACAACGCCTGCAGCAAGAAAGATACTATGGCTGCACCGCGTTTTCCACCACTCCGTGTGGTAAACCTTGCGCCACCGCGCACAGGGCGGAAGGCCTCCCGGTCCAGGCTGCGCGCCTGCGAGCCACTCCAGGTCGCTAGCACCAAGGGCCGCCCACGGCAACGCCTGCGTCCCCGCAGGGCGGAGCAATGCCAAAAACTCCGGGGACGGGAGGCAAACCGGCTGAAACAGAGATGTCGAGCGTCGCCGCCTGACCAGCGTCTCCATGCTGCTGACGCCGAGGATCTCGCGGACTCAGAGCTGCACGTAGGCCGCCGTGTACTTCTCGGTGCTGCTGTAGTGCCCACGTCCAGACAACAACACCGACAGGATCTGGCTCTGAAAAATACAGACGCGGGTATCTTGCGAGGTAGCCCTTGCACATAACAATTTCTTGGCGAGTGGGTACCATGCCGTCTGCGCCGCGGCCTCTCGCGCCTCGGCGGCGGGCAATAGGCTCCCGCTGCCGGCAACCATCACAGCGACATGCTTGTACTGAGGGACGACAAAAACCTTGATCATCCTCTCGGGCGTTGGCGGGGATGGCGCTGAGAAAGTGACGAACTCGCGCCCTTGGTCGTCCGCCAGCAGCAGCGCGCGGGCACCCTGCGAACTGGCTCCTCAACAAAAAACAAGATAGCTTCGTCTTGCCTGGGCTACAACTCATCTCCAACCCATATTTCTCGAACTCCTCAAGGATGATCGGGAGCGCTAGGTGCACGATCTGCCACACGTGCACGGGCGACGTGCCGAAGAGAACGAACACCTCATCGTGCACGTACAGTGCGGGCGCGGCCGCAAGAAACCCTCGCAAGAACCCTGAGAGGCCGCGCGCGAGGTACACCGGAGGGGAAACCCGGAGCACCCTGAACGCAGCAGCTCCTTCAACGGCTGCGGGAAATCACCGCGCAGAGCGAGGGGCGAAGAAACCCATGATACCCTGACGAAAAGCAGATGGTTTTTGGATGCGCGCCCCCACTGTACGTGGCGTCGAGGACATTGCACTGCTGACCCTCACTCTCGCAGGCGTCGGCCGCAACCTCGCGTTCGCTCCCATCGTGCGCGGCCTCCGCGCGGGCTCGGGGACCTCGTGCTGCCACGGCACTGCATCTGGGTTAAAGGGCAGTGTCAGAGTGATCCCCTCTGCCTCCATGCGAGCTCGAACCCATTTGATAATGACCCCGTCGTAGCGCAATTTGAACAGCGAAGCACCGACGCGGCATCCCTGCCGAGCGTCCGACTCGGTCTCTATGCGCCTGGTGTTGCCGTCCAGCTGAAACCACGTAGCCTTGGGCAGGCTTTCGAGAAGCTTGGCCACCCCCTCTGCCACGCCAGCCGCCACGATGTCTCCGCTGGTGCGCTCGACGTAGTTCGCGATGTGCTCCGCCGCGCGCGTTGCTAGTCCCAGCTGGTGCAGGTACTGCACCCTGTCTGCGTGGTCGATGAGGAGGAGGAGGACGAGGAGGAGGAGGAGGAGGAAGAGGAGGAGAGGCAGCCATGGTGCTGCCATGAGGAGCGCGGACGAAGGAGAAGGGGGGCCTTTTTTGTTCTGACCGCGGCGAACCCTGGCCACCGCGAGACGTCCCCCTGCCTGGATTTCACAAAGGACCGACCCGAGAACCTGGGCCCCCCTTCTGAGCCCAAAGCGGTGCTTAGTTCAGAGTCTTGACGGCACATCAGACGCTGAGAAAGGGGGCCGAACGGTCATTCACTGTCCTTGGAACGCGTGCCTGCAGTGGGGCTCCGCGGTGCGGACTGTTGCTGCGTTGTTGCGCTGTTGATCCCGTCCTACCCGCGACTCGACCCGCGACCCACCCCACGATTCACCCCGCGACCCGCCCACGACCCACCCCGCGACACATCCCGCGCCCCACCCGCAACCCGCCCTCGACCCACCTGCGACCCACCCCGCGACCCACCCGCGACCCGCGACCCACCCCCTCACTCTTAACGGCAACCGCTGGGTGTTGTTACGCCTGGCCCGCTCCGCCTCGCTCCGCTAGCGCGGACTGCGCACCGCTGCCGAGAACCCGTCGCGGCCAGAGGGCCGTGAAATGCAGAGGCATGCGGCGACAGCCGCGAGGCACTCCATCTGGACACCTCCACCCCAGACGCGACACCCAGAGGGGGAGAGGCCCCAACTGGGGAGGCCGCGGGAAGCCCACGGGGGGCCTGCGTGCGTTTTGCTGTGGTCCGCGTCCTCCTCCTCGTCCTCCAATCCCGAGGGAGGCCCACGGGGGGACGTTGCGATGGTCCTCCTCCTCCTCCTCCTCCTCCTCCTCCTCCTCCTCCCTCCTCCCTCCTCCCTCCTCCCTCCTCCCTCCTCCCTCCTCCTCCGTGGGCCTCCCTCCTCCCTCCCCTCCCCTTTATCAATCCTCCCTCCCCTCCCTCGTACGTCCCTCCTCCCCTCCTCCTCCCTACCTCCTCCCTCCCTCCTCCCTTCCTCCCCCATCCCCCCCCCGCGACCAAAAAGGATACTGTACTCACAGCTCCGCAAACACTCGCCCCCCCAGGCACCAACCCCGCAACAAACCTCCTTCCCCACCTTCCCCCTCCCCCCTCCATCCCTCCCTCGTCCCTCCCCCTCCTCCCCCCTCTCATCCCTCCTCATCCTCCTCCTCCTTCTCCTCCTCCTCCCTCCTCCCTCCTCCCTCCTCCCTCCTCCCTCCTCCCTCCCCTCCTCCTCGCCCGTCGCGTCCCCGTAGGGCTTGCGGACCGCCCCACCTGCCCTGTGAACTCTGCCCGCCCCACCGCACGGCAACCCCCGAATGATGGGTGGGGTGGGGGGTTGGGCAGGAGGCCGAACTTGCCGCCGTCACCAGCCTGGGGCTTGCGGCCCGCCCCATTTGCCTGGCCCGTCCGGCCCGCTCTGCTGTCCCGCAGCCGCTGCATTTTGGGGACTGGTAGGGGGGCGAGGGGGTGTCAGGCTGGGGGACTGTCTTGCCGCCTCTGCCCGCCCGGGGTTTGCGGGCCATCCCACCCGCCTTGCCCTCGCGGCCCGCCCCGCCGCCCCACAATCGCCGCAGGTTGGGGGCGGGGGAGGGCTGGAGGGATAGGCTGGGGGTCTGCCTGGCCACCTCCACCCGCCTGGACCAGGGCGGGCCACAAGGGGCAATCCTTTTCGGCGCCCTGCTGCGCTGGCCCGGTGGAGGCGCTCGCAGCGGGGCGGACGCCCTGAGGGAACCCGTTGACACCCACAGGCTTGAACAACAGGCTCCGCCCTCCCGTTATCCGCCCTCTCTCCCTCCCTCCCTCCTCCCTGTGACCTCCGCGATCACGAGAGGAGGAGGAGGAGGAGGAGGAGGAGGAGGAGGAGGAGGAGGAGGAGGAGGAGGAGGAGGAGGAGGAGGAGGGGGAAGAGGAGGAGGAGGAGTCCTCCCTCCGTCCCTCCTCCCTCCTCCCTCCTCCCCTTCCTCCCTCCCTCCGTGCCTGCGGGGCCAGCCCGCCGCCGCCCCGCCCCACCCTCCGCCGCCCGCAGCCCGCCGCCCGCCCCGCCCGCGGCGCGCCTCCAGCAGCCACGGCCTGCGGAGGGAGAGAAGGGAAGGGGGGAGGAGAAGCAAGAGGAGCAGAAGCAGCAAAAAAAACCTTCGGGCAGCCAACTGCAGCCGAGAGGGCCCTGGCGGGGGGCTTCGGGGAGGAGGGGCAGGAGCGAAAGCTGTGAGCCTCGATGCTCAGAGCCTGGCCAGCTTCAAAAAGAGGGAAGAGAAACAAGAAAGGCGGAGGAAGAACACGACGAGGACGAACCCGTCGTCCAGCAGAACCGGACGCCTCCCAGACGGGATCCGAGCAGATGGGGCTGGAGGGTCGCGCCGCATCGTCGATGCATCGTCGACGTCGGCGACGCATCGGCGACGTCGACGTGGAGAACATAGGGCTCCACATCGAGCCGCCATCGGCGAGGCGTCGACGGTGCGGCGCGATCCTCCGGCCCCATCTACTCCGACACCTGCTGGGGAGCCTGGACCTCCCCGTCCCTCCCTGCAGTCCCGGCTCGGGGGGGCTCCCCCCCCAGCGGGGGCGGACCACTTCGACGCCCCCACCTCCTCGTCGGACCTGCCTCCCCCCACCTCCCGTCGCTCATACGCTTGTTCCCTGTGCCGTTTGTCGGTGTCGTGCGTGTTTTTTATTGGCTTGGTGATCAAGGCTGCTCCTCGATGGTCCTCGCCGACAAAACGTGCACACGCCCGAGCGACGCCAAGCCTCTGAAAGGGGGCGGGCCTTCTCGGGAGGGGCGACGGCTTCCGAAAAGCCCCGCTCCCTCCCGAGAAGGTCTGCCCGCCCCCCCTCGGCGCACTCCGAAGGGTGCGGTGTGCCAAGGGTCCAGCCGCGGCATGGCCATGTTTTTGTTAAGTTTCCTGAGCGCACGTGCGTGGCAGGCGCTAGCGGCTGTCAGCTGGGCGCAGAGGAGAGCGATGGCATCATGTCACGGGTACTCGCGCCAGGGAACTTCGTGCTGTTGACGGACGGGGCGCGCGCGTACCAATTGGTGGCGCCGCTGAACCGTTGCGCCCACCACAACCGTGATGTCGACCCGCCGGGCTTCAGCGAAGTGCGGCACAAGGAATACTACCAACAAATCAAACGTTCACACGGCATAGTGTCATACGACGACAAGCAGTGGGCAGTCCAGGACTCAGTCCGAGTGGTGAACCCCGCTGGCGGGACGAAGGTCATCCGTCTCAAGAACAGAGACCAGATCGTGGACAGACCGTGGCCAGATATGAGAGCGAGCATACCTGACTCTGTACATTTTCGGACTGGAGTAGGTGCAGGGTGTACCTTTTGGCGCGGATTTGGAACATGCGCAGGGCTGGCAAGGACGCGCTGGCTGAATTCGGCAAGTCTGTTTCGAACTTGCGCAACTAAAACTGACATGTTTTGGGGGGAGTAGCTGATCCGCCTTTTGGCTTCGAACAAATGCCAGCCGTATGCAGTCGCTATCGGGCTCATCTTTCGCGCGGTGCAGTGCGCGTCACCATCGGTGTCCGAATCCCACCAGCCCTTTGGGCGTGAGTGGTTTAGCGAGCTCTCTCTGTTCTCAACCCCCCTTCTTCCCCTTCGGGGAGGGGTTTACCCCTCCCCCTACCCCCTCCCCCTGGACCTGGAGAGGGGGTCCGGCGGGTCGTCAGGGGGGTCAATTTCGACTCCTGGGAGGGCTAAAAAACGACACCCCTCACGAGGATTCTGCCCCCGACGGGGGGGCGCCAAAAAAACCCTCTCCTCTTGTGTCAAGCCAAAATCATTGATTTTACTACGGTTTCGGCCCCATTTTGGCCTTCTGAGGGGGCAGCGCTCCTCTTCCTTGTTCTCAAAATCATTGATTTTACGAAGGTTTTGGGCTCATTTTGTCCTTCTCAGGGGGTAGCGCTCATTTGCGCTTCTGAGGAGGTCGCAAGAGGCCCCAAGATGGCCCCAAGATGCCCCCAGGAGGCTCCCAAGAGGCCTCCAAGAGGCCCCCAAGAGGCCCCCAAGAGGCCCCCAGAGGCCCCCAAGAGGCCCCCAAGAGGCCCCCAAGAGGCCCCAAGAGGCCCAAGAGGCCCCCAAGAGGCCCCCAAGAGGCCCCCAAGAGGCCCCCAAGAGGCCCCCAAGAGGCCCCAAGAGGCTCCAAGAGGCCCCCAAGAGGCCCCACGAGGAGCCCGAACGACTCACACCAGGACGAGGGGCCCGAACGACTCACACCACGAAGAGCCCGAACGACTCACACCACAAGGAGGGGCCCGAACGACTCACACCAGGACGAGGCGCCCGAACGACTCACACCACGAGGAGCCCGAACGACTCACACCACGACGAGGGCCCCGAACGACTCACACCACGAGGAGCCCGAACGACTCACACCAGGAGGAGGAGCCCGAACGACTCACACCAGGACGAAGGGCCCGAACAACTCACACCACGAGAACCCCGAACGACTCACGCCAGGACGAAGAGCCCGAACGACTCAAACCACGACGAAGAGCCCGAACGACTCACACCAGGAAGAAGGGTCCGATCGACTCACACCAGGACGAGAGGCCCGGAGATATGCGGGAGCAGGCGGAAACACGCCTGAAAAACACGACTGTCGGCATGCTTCGCAAGAGTTGCTGTTTTGAGATGGGCTGGTGGGGATACGCGAAGCGTGAAGAATTCTCTTTTGATTCAGCGGGCGCGTTGTGGCTTCCAAAAGAATACTCTGGAATCAATATTTCTCTCTCTCTCTCTCTCTCTCGCTTTGTACATATATATGTATGTATATATATATATACACCTTCGTTTTCAATGATCCTGGCAAAGGACCCAACCATAAGCAATTGTTCGCAACGCGTTGTGGGTGCCGCTTTCGGTGGGGCTCCCTATGGGGCCACGAAACGCGAAGCGCTGCCCTGGGCGAGGGAACCGCATGCGAGAGCAGCCACTGGGGCCTTCGGTGGAGCTCCCTATGGGGCCACGAAGCGCTGCCCTGGTTGGGGGAACCGCATGCGAAGTGCGCCACGGGGGCCTTCGGAGGAGCTCCCTCTGGGGCCACGAAACGCTGCCCTGGGTGGGGGAACCGCATGCGAGAGCAGCCACCGGGGCCTTCGGTGGAGCTCCCCATGGGGCCACGAAGCGCTGCCCAGGGTGGGGGGACACGCATACGAGAGCAGCCACCGGGGCCTTCGGTGGAGCTCCCTATGGGGCCACGAAACGCTGCCCAGGGTGGGGGGACACGCATGCGAGAGCAACCACGGGGGCCTTCGGTGGAGCTCCCTATGGGGCCACGAAGCGATGCCCAGGGTAGGGGAAACGCATGCGAGAGCAGGGGCCTTCGGTGGAGCTCCCTATGCGGCCACAAAGCGCCCAGGGTGGGGGGAAACGCATGCGAGAGCAGCCGCCGGGGCCTCCGGTGGAGCTCCCCATGGGGCCACGAAACGCTGCCCAGGGTGGGGGAAACGCATGCGAGAGCAGCCACTGGGGGCTTCGGTGGAGCTCCCCATGGGGCCACGAAGCGCTGCCCAGGGTGGGGGGAAACGCATGCGAGAGCAGCCACCGGGGCCTTCGGTGGAGCTCCCTATGGGGCCACGAAGCGTGTGAAAGGTGTGCCGAGAGCAGAGGCAAGGAGGGGGAGGAGGGAGGAGGGGGGGAGGAGGAAGAAAGAAGGGAGACGCGGGGCGCTGTCTCTTCAAAACGAGGACCCAACAACCACAGGATGGTTGGGAAAAACACTGAAACGGCCCAGGCCCTCAGAGGGCGGCCAGCCAAGGACGCCCCGCCCCACAGGCCGGGGCAACAAACGATTTTTGTTGTTCGGGCTCGGCGCGAGCCGCGCGGTGCGAGTACGAGTCAGGATGGTCGGCGCGCAGAGGGAGGTACGACAGGTTCGCGTCGTGTCGACCCCAGCGCTGGGTCATGACACCGCGGGGATCGTTCAAACTTGAACGATCGGCCGTTCCATTGACGCCAGATCGTTCAAAGACGGACCGATTCTGGGAGGGCGCGCCGCTGGATCACCCAAAGGGGGGGGGGGGGGTTCGGAACCCCCCCCCCCCCCCCCCCCCCCCCTTGCCCGAGCCGTGGTCGGCGAACCCCCCCCCCCCCTCCCCCCCTGCCCGAGCCGTCGTCGGCGAACCCCCCCCCCCCCCCCCCCCTTGCCCGAGCCGCGTCGGCGAACCCCCCCACCCCCCCCCCTCTCCCCTCCCCGAACCGTCGTCGGCGAACCCCCCCCCCCCCCCCCCTTTCCCCGGCTCGCGCCCCGGCTCCGGAACCCCATCCCTACCACTCCCGCCCCGACCCCCCCGAACCCCTAACCTCTAACCCAAACCCTGAACCCTAATCCTTAATCCCTAACCCGAAGCCTAAACCCTAACCGTAGACCTAACCCTGACCCCAAACCCTAACACTAAGCCTAGCCCTAACCTAAGCTCTAAACCTGAACCCTTAACCCTAACCCTCAACCCTATCCCTACACCCTAACCCCAACCCTACCCCTCACCCTAAACCCTAAACCCTAACCCTAACCCTAAACCCTAACCTCAACCCCAACCCTGACCCTAAACCCTAAACCCTAGCCCTAAACTCTAAACCCTAACCCTAAACCCTAACCCTAACCCTAAACCCTAACCCCCAAAACCCTACACCCTAAACCCTGACCCTAAACCCTAACCCTAACCCTAACCCCTACACCCTAATCCTTAACCCTAACCCTAACCCTAAACTCTAGCCCTAACCCTAACCCTAAACCTTAACCGTAACCCTAAACCCTATGACCTAACCCTAAACCTTAACCCTAACCCTAGACCCTGAACCCTAAACCTTAACCCTAAACCCGAACCCGAACCCTAACCCTAAACCCTCACCCTAACCCTAAACCTTAACCCTCAACACAAACCATACCCCTAACACTAAACCCTAACCCTAACCCTAAACCCTAAACCCTAACCCTAACCCTAACCCTAAACCCTAAACCCTAACCCTAACCCTAACTAACCCCTAACCCCTAACCCTAACCCCAAACCCCAAACCCTAAACCCTAAACCCTAAACTAAACGCCCAGGGCCGCTTGG